TTTTTTGGTTTGGCGTTGATATTTCTGTGATATGATTTTTTTGTGGTGAAATTTGGGAAGACGTTTCCGACCTGAAAATCTCTAGTTTCCTTCGACATTGTTTTTGTTATAAAATTAAATGTTGGTTGGTAGTTGTAACTAATGCACCGAACAATGTTCACCTACTCTTAATATTTTATTTATGTGAATGACTATTTTGTCCTTGGTATAATTGTATTATGACGATTGTGTCATCAGAAGTTTTCCTATAAATAGAAACTTCAGTTATAATGAAAAGACAACCAAAAGTTTGGACAGAAAAAAAGAAAAATGAAGCTTCCTCGAAGTCTTCGAGTTTCCGCCTAATTAGCCGTGATCTCCGGCGAGGCGAATCTCTTTTCTAGTCTGATGTCTCCAAATAGATTCTAAATTAACCAAGCAACTATAGGACAGCTAACGGCTTTCGCGCGTCTTGCTCAATCCCTTGCTTGTTGCATTCTCTCTATTATCTCTATTTCTCTCTAGTTTTATAACACGTTATCAGCACGAGTCTCTTCCCTCTAGAGCTCGATTTGTAATATAACGAGAGTATGCTCTACAGTTGCGTCTTATAGACGATCATCTGTATCAGAAGTCAGATTATCAATTTCGTTCTTTACTCGAATCAGATTATCGAACTGCCGCTTTATAGCTGCACCAAATCGGACCTCCGCCTATCCGAAATTAAAAGCAAGAAAAACGAAGAAATTCATTAGTTCTTTTGAACTCTAGAAAGTACATGGCTTTGACTTTGTACAAATTTCAACGTACTCGCGTTCCTGAAGAAGGTACATTTCTTTTCTGAATTTGGTTTGTGTTTTTGTCCGTATTTTGCATGATGTGAACTTGTGTTCCTGTTCTATGTGCTCTAGGTGTTTGACAAATTGCTTGTTTGAGTGAATCTCCATTACGCGATCGGTTTTCATTTATAGCTCTGCTTTATGTGATTTTGGACACCAAATTGGCCATGTTTGGCTTCATCAAAGCAAATCTGATACTTGGAGAAAGTTTTTTTTTTTTTTTTATGTTCTTACACAGAAATTTAATTCTGAAGATATAAAAGAGTAGGGATTTTATTGGGTATGAAGAGATTGAAATCATGAATCGCCCGACGGCTTGTTTATAGTTTGGAAAATTTGGTTGCTCTTAAATATGAGATTGATTGAATTGATAATGTTGCTTTTTCTATGCCATTTTCTTCACTAAAATTGGGCCCAATTTTCAAGAAAGGAAAAGGATAATATGTATATACAAACCATTCAACTACTATAAATAGCCTATATATATATTAAAAGTCAACTTATTTACCAAAAATAGTAACAAAAAAAGTCAACACACATTTAATGCATACCTTATTTGGAAATTTTTATTATATGCATTAAATGCTTGCATATTTACATTTATTATCCAGATATGATCTTAAAGATTTTTTCCTTAAATAATGTATGCAATGATTTTACTGATATCCATTATAATTAATATTTGTCGAGTAATTTTTTTTACCTTTATTTAATTATATAAAACTAATATTTTTAAAAAAAATAACATTATTTATCATTTAAAAGATAATGATCACATCATTAAATGATTTTAGTGGTGGTTAGATAATAAAATTATATTAGTTATTCTTTAAAAATTTTACTAAAATAAAAACCGGCTTAAGAAAAAAAATCTCATAACATCCGAGAAGTCAAAAAAAAGTACGTAAAATTTTTACTAAAATAAAAAAGACTTTATTTATTTGTCTTATTCCATAATACCATCGATTTAGTTAAAACAAATCTCATAATCGGTGAAGTCAAAAAATGTACGTAAAACCTATTTATACTAAAAAAATACAGATTCAAAATTCCTTATCTTATTTCTGTTTAAAGCATTTTATTTAATATTTATTTATATGAAATATTGGATAGGATTGTTGGATCTGAGTCAATTTTGAAATCGCGTTGTTTGGTATGAGAGGATTATCCGCATCCTATATCTGTCTAAAGCATATTATTTTATATTATTTAATTAATTTATTTAATATTAAATTTTTTATCCATGATATCAGTTTTGTCAAAAAAAATTGAACAAACAAACAAATAAAAAAGAAACGGGATTAATTACCTTCGACGTGTAAAAAAATTATGGGTGGACGTAAATATTTAACAATGTTATTTCAAGTTTCTTGAATAATACTATAACTATGATGTTGAAATATAATTTGTTTTATGAGTAACGTAAATATGTTGTTTAAAGTTCCCTAAAACAATTTTTTTTCAAATTATGTTGTTTAAAGTTCCTTACATATTAATATATTTAAAGTATACACATGTTGTAATATATTAAAGTCAAAAAATGTTGGAAGGCTTTTGAATGATCTAAGTTAATTAATTTAAATGTTTGATCCCATTAAATCTTCAATCCATGGAATATTTTTACTAATCCCGTGAGAATGTTGTTTTGTTATTGTAATCAACTTATACACTATTTTACTAATAAATTATTTAATATCTATATACAATGAGGTCTTTAATAATATATGATTTTTTTTTGTCAGATACTATTTTATTGTATAATTTTCATGCGTAGTAGAAAACTTTTATTGAATATTGCATCTTATAATATAATATTCCCTGAATAAATATATACCGTGTCTCGCACCGGTCCTGTACTATATATATGCCGTATATTTTTTTATTCATTTATATAATTATAAAGCTGGATAAATAGCCTTAAAATTGTGCACCCCGTGCATCGCACGGGCTCTGTACTAGTTATATTGAATCATCAATCAACTGAGCTAGGCCAACATGTCTCATTAATTATCTCAATATTTAATCCAATAATGGACATATTTTAGTTGTAACGTTACATCACTAAAATAGCAAAACCAAATGTACAATTAAATTATTTGCAATGGCAAGCTCTGTACTAGTTGTAACGTTACATCACTTAAATTATAATCTCCATTTAATTATTTGCAATGGCAAGCACTGTGGTTACCCTTGCGGCCAAGGCACCAATTACATGTGCAACTGATAAATTATTTATTAAACGCATAATACTCTATTTAAGAGATCTTTATTTTAATACCAATATTGATATGGTTTATTATCATAAATCAAATATATTATGGTTATGAAATACTTGAATTTTGTTACTATGAAAATTATTTAGTACATGGACATGTGAATATTTATGGATTGAACCATGTGAATATATTGTTTGATATGATTTCTATTAATCTTCACATTAATTGTTAAGATTTGAAAGTGGTAACATGTATAATATGTCCCGTAGACATTATCCTCTAAATGAGGATTATTTTCAATGTTAGAGGAAAAATATTATACAACTTATGACATCTCTCGTAAATCAATTGTTATACTCCTGAAGAGTTAATAACATATGTAATGCTTGAAGCATATAATGTTCACTTAGAATTGAATTATTATAAGTTGATGCCCAAATTATATATTTGATAATTAACATGAGCGGTTAAATCATATTGGGTAATTATTTATCATAATTTTCCCTCAAATGGTGCGTGGAAAATAGATCATTTCCCATCTACGATTTATTAGTATTTTATGCACAGTTTTGTATCACTACCAATTCGTACCTTTATGGGCCTATATTACAAACTAGGTATGCTATGATTTTTATACTCCGTCGGATTTTTAATACCTAGAGGCCATTATAGGAGGACAATTTATTATTTGGTACGTGTTTTGCATAATATATAAAGATGATTTCACGGCATTGGGGGGAGATATGAGCATAAGTTTATTAATGCCATGAAATATGTGAAATACTAATGTTTCCATTATTTGAAACCACACAATAGAAATTGAACTTGAAGTTCATATTATATTTCTGCCAAATGAAATTTATAGTTATAATGGAGTGAACAATTTGTATATATAGATGTACCACAAAGTAAGCAAAATCCCTAGGGAATGATTGACTCCTTAATGCTAGAAGCATAAGGTGATATATTAATATATGATGTATAATCCACTGAAAATGTATATTCAAGAATTAACACTCCTTTATAAGAAACTCATGAAGAGTTGATCCAGTACATATTGCATGTGCATCAAACCATTATAGTACTGGAAATGCGGAACAACCAAAATTAAATATTACGCGAAATGATTATCAATATGGCTAGTAAATATGAAGTTGCACATATTGTTGAAAGAATATAAATTGAATATCATAGTTGTCGACAACATAATTGCCTATGTGATATCTATACTATCTCAAATAATGATCCGGATCAAAATAATGAAGGTGCTAGAAGCGCTTAGGTTGATTGAGATAGAAAGAAAAAAGGCAGAACTTCCACTCGCTACACGATATATCCCAGAAGGATAATGAATATTTATATGAAATATGTGATATGATGGTGTAATGTATACATAGCGAGATTATGATTATGGGTTTACGCAGACCCAATATGTTATAAAATTTCTTTCACTATCTATTATTCCGCAAGTTAATATTTACGGCAACAACATTACTATGACTATTGAGTCATATGTGAAAGTCCTAAATGGACTCGAATTCCTGAGATGAAAGATAATTAAATTATTTAATAAAGTTGTTGGTAAGATGTGGTATAACCAACAAAATTATTCCTGAAGAATTAATGTAAGAAGTCAAGGTAGAACCTTGTGTATAATGATAAAATATACAAAATGATCATCTCGGTCAAATAAATTATTTCGTGAACACTATGTAAAAGGTTAAATAAGTTAACTCATGCTTATAGACGGAGTTATAATGGAACTCTTGGTTAAATAACAAAGTGTATTATCTCGACTTGTT